AATGGTGATGCAAGAATATGCTTACGTGATTTCCAGGAATAGCATCATTTCCTCAGAGATATCTTAGAGCTTTGAATAAATAAATTAAACTGTGTTACCCTAAAAAAGGGGATGGTGCCTTTGCATGGTGTGTACGAGCGTCTTAACTCTTACACCTTTTTGGGTTATTATTCTGTAATTGTTTGACTTAATTTTTTTAATTTATCAACAAATTGTTCTTCACATTAGGTTATCATTTGGTTTCAGAACACACCCAAGAACAACGCACCCATAAATACCTCATATATTTCTTAGAAAGACATAATTTTGTAATCTTTTTCTATAAGATATTTTTTTAATTTCATCATGAAAAAAGCAACAACGGCAACATAAAGTTGGTGTGACATATATGCAACGGCGTAGCCAGGAATGGCCGACGCCCCGGGCCAAAATGAAGGGCCAATTTTTTTTCTCAAAAACTACCACAATTTTAAGGCATACCAAAAGTAATGTTCATTTGCAACTGATAAGAATCTAGAGACAATATGTAATAGTGCTTCATCTGATAATGTAACACATAACAAAAAACAATATAAAGGATAAATAATACAAAAGAGGGTACCAAATCAAAAGGATGTTTGATTTTAGCTTCCCGCGTTTACATCTTCAATAGTAACAGATGATTCACCTTCAAGTAGAAAATTTGGTATGCAAGTCAGTGCATAGAAAACAAGTAAAAAAATTGCTACTGGATGCAAAATATGAAACATTACCTCTAGGACGAGGTACAATGCCTTTGCGTGTGCAATAACCCTGAAATCGCTCAATGATCTTTGACTTTTCAATACTAACAAATACATCTCGCTCAATGTAACATACCATTCTGTGATTCAACCAATCATCACCCATCCTGTTCCTCAAATCGGTCTTGATAATGCTCATTGCTGAGAAGGCCCTTTCTACTGTTGCGGTTGCAACAGGTAATATTAATGCTAACTCAACAAGGCGGTAAACCAACGGAAATGTTGTGTGCATATTACTCAAAACCATCTTCATGGCAAGATGACCAAGGTCATTACAATTCATCAAATGTGGATCAACTCTTGCTTCATGAATGAACGAGTCCAATTGATTTCTAAGGACAAAACTAACTTTATATGCAGAGAAGTCAGCAGCATACATACTAGCAAGGTCAACAAGCTTGTCTTCATCATAATTGGCAAAAGAATTCTTCAGATCAAGACAAGCAATGCATCTTAACAGTTGAGTAGATCTTTCAGTAAAGCGGTTGTTTAATTCCACAATAATTTGATCATGCACCACATTGAATATTTCATTTCTGAAATGATGGTGGTAAGTTACCAATTGGCCACCCCAAGTTCTTGAACGACCATTAGCCGGTCTTGTATCTTTCATATTTGGCACTACAATATTGTATTTGAGACAGAAGTTAGTTACCTCTTGGAAGAGCTCATCCCAACCATTCTGCCTATCTCTTGCATTTTGTCCATTGTGGTTTTAATCAATCCCACGGCACGGACAATATGCTGTTTTTTCTGTTGCAAGCACTGTGATAGATCATTAGTCTTGCCCAATAGTCTAATCATAAGATGCAATATGAGAACAAATTCAAATGTTTCCATGTGCTTTATCAACCCACCAGCTGAGGTTCTTTGTGCAACATTATCAGCATCATTGTACAAATTTTCTAATACCTTCAGAACTGGTTTTCACATAGAAATAAGTCGACACAAGGTCCTATGATGTGACCCCCACCGTGTATCACCGGGTCTTGCAAGGTTAGTTAATTGGTTTTTTCCTTTCTCCCCAGGAAGTTCCCCGACTTCCACTTGGCGCACAAATTCATCATGTTGCTCTTGGGCTAACTGATCATGTCTTTTACATGAAGCATTAACAATGTTGACAACCATGCTAGTGTATTCAAAAAAATCTCTTACTGATGAACAACACTTTGCAACAGCAACAACAACTAACTGCAATTGATGGGCAAAGCAGTGTATATAATGAGCATACGGATTTTCCTCCAAGATCAATCTTTGCAAACCACGAAATTCCCCTCTCATATTTGAAGCCCCATCATAACCTTGCCCTCTCAAATTAGACATAGACAAGCTCTGAGTAGCAAATATACCATCCAAAACTACCTTGAGTGAAGTTGCCCGCGTGTCAGGAACATGCTTGATTGCAATAAACCTCTCAATCACCTCCCCTCGGCTGCTGAGATGCCTACATAAGACACAATTGCATGATTAGTATATAATAACTTTGAGAAAATATATGCACAACAAGACACATGTACAATACACACGACGGCACTGACCTCAAACACATAGCCATTTGCTCCTTAATAGATGCATCTCTGGACTCATCCACAAGTAAAGGAAATTTACTATCTCCAATTTCATCAACAATGTTTTTGGTGGTCTCTTCTGCACAAGCCTTGCACAAGTCCAATTGTATCTCAGGTGAAGTTAGCTTATGGTTCGCACCTGTATCTCCGGAAACAATCACATTGTGAAAAAAAGCAACAACTACAAAAAAACTATCACATAATGATACTATGATGTGATTTTGGTGCACATTTTTTTCATAAAAAAATCCTATGAATTTCACAAAAAAAAAGAATGTTTACTACTTAAATCCTAGCCTGTACAGGTGCACAGGTTGAGTTTTTAACGTTCCCTTGCGCTGGCATGGTACAATGTGACGTGCGTTGGCTGAGTTCATCGCATTGAGAATTTTGTTTTGCGGGGACATCGCATTGGGATTGACCATGCTCGGGCCCATTGTGATTTGGTGAACACCGCTGATAAAAAAAATAGATTAGGTGAACACCGGGATCATCGTTTGCGAAGGCGGAAAGACGACAAGTGATGACATGGGTGAGATGTCATGTTAAAATAGAGAACATGGACAGGAGGGGGGGACTTGAGCAATGCTTATATGGTTATTACAGGCCCGCGTGAAGTTTTTTTCTTTCGTTGCAACGCATGGGTCTTTTTATTAATATCATAATTAAGCACGACCCAGAAGTTGAGCATGAAAACTCTGTGATAGGGAGATGGGACCCATGCCAATCGACAGAAATTAGCGAACGCTCGTCTCAGTTGTGTGACTGCACGACTATCTCCACTCCTGCCATCGAAGGAAAAAAAGCTGTCTCCACTCCGTACGAACTCCAGTCGACGGCCATTCCCGACGCCGATGCGCCGCCGCATCCGCACCCGCCTCCGTAGCCGCCCCTCCCCCTCCTGCACCTAGCCGGAGTCCGGCCTCCGCCTCCCTCTCCGCCACTCCTCCAGCTTTATCTCTGCGGCTCCCCTCCTCCGCCTCCACCGGTACCGCACCACCACCACGCCGATGTCCCGCATCCACCTCCACCGCTGCCTCTACTCCTCCACCTCGCGGCCCTTGCGTTCCTGGTCTCCCCGCGCCGCCTTTGCCGCGGCAACAGAGCGCGTCCGCGCTGGGGCGCTCAGCCAAGACGATGCACACCACCTGTTCGACGAATTGCTGCGGCAGGCCACCCCGGTCCCCGGGCGCTCCCTCAACGGCTTCCTTGCCGCCCTCGCCCGTGCGCCGGCCTCCGAAGTCTGCAGAGATGGGCCCGCCCTCGCCCTCGCCCTCTTCAATCGCGTCTGTCGTGATGAAGCCGGCGCGCGGGTGGTGCCTCTCACAGTCCACACCTACGGCATCCTCATGGGCTGCTGCTGCCGTGGGCATCGCCCGGACCTAGGGCTTGCCTTATTCGGTCGCCTCCACAGGACGGGCATCAAGACAAACCAGATGCCTTCCTTAAGTGCCTCTGTTACGCAAAACGGACGGATGAAGCTGTGAACGTGCTGCTTCATAGGATGTCCGAGCTCGGCAGTGTGCCTAATGCCTTCTCATACTCCATTGTTCTGAAGAGCTTATGCGACAATAGCATGAGTCAGCGGGCACTCGACCTGCTCCAGATGATGGCGAAAGAAGGAGGTGCCTGCTCCCCCAACGTGGTGACATATACCACGGTCATCCATGGCCTCTTTAAGGAAGGCGAAACAGGCAAGGCATGCAATCTATTCCATGAAATGAAGCAGCAAGGGATTGAGCCCAATGTGGTGACATATACCTCGAGCATTGATGCGTTGTGCAAGGCCAGAGCAATGGACAAGGCAGAGCTAGTCCTTCGGCAGATGGTTGCTAATGGTGCTCAACCCAATGAAGTGACATATAATTGCATGATCCATGGATATTCCACATCAGGGCAGTTGAAAGAGGCTGCTAAAATGTTCAGAAAAATGACAAGTCAGGGTCTTATACCAGATAACTTTACTTGCAGCTCGTTAATGACTTCCCTTTGCAAGCATCGAAGAAGCAAAGAAGCTGCAGAAATTTTTTATGCCATGACTGCCAAAGGCCACAGAGCTAATGTTGTCTCGTACTGTATTTTGCTTCATGGGTATGGCAATGAAGGATGCTTTGCTGATATGATTGACCTCTTTAATTCAATGGAAAGGAATGGCATTGCAGCCGACTGCCGTGTTTTCAACATATTAATCGATGCGTATGCTAAACATGGAATGACGGATGAAGCTATGCTCATATTTACGGAAATGCGGGAAAAAGGAGTAGGTCCTGATGCGTTCACCTATTCCACTGTAATAGCCGCACTTTCCAGAATGGGTAGGTTGACCGATGCTATGGGCAAGTTCAGTCAGATGATTGCCATGGGAGTTCAACCGGACACAACTGTTTATCACTCCCTGATTCAGGGTTGTTGTATACATGGTGATTTGGTTAAAGCCAAGGAGCTGGTTTGTGAAATGATGAACAAAGGTATTCCTCGTCCTAGCATTGTGTTCTTCAATTCAGTAATAAACAGTCTGTGCAAAGAAGGAAGGATTATGGATGCACACGATATCTTTGACTTGGTTATAGACATAGGTGAGAGGCCTGATGCCATTACATTCAGTTCACTGATTGACGGATATTGCTTAGTCGGCAATATGGATAAAGCATTAAAAGTACTTGATGTCATGGAATCAGTTGGTGTTGAGCCTAATGTTATTACATACAATACACTTGTTAATGGCTATTGTAGAAATGGAAGGATCGATGATAGTTTGACTCTGTTCAGAGAGATGCCGCGTAAGAGAATTAAACCTGACACTGTTTCATATTGCATAATAATGAATGGGTTGTTTCGTGCTGGGAGAACTGTTGCCGCAAGAAAAATGTTCCATGAGATGACGGAAAATGGAATAACAGTGAGTATTTCTACATACAGTATAATACTTAGAGGTCTTTGTAGAAATAATTGTGCAGACGAAGCTATCACCCTGTTCCAGAAATTAGGAACAATGAATGTAAAGTTTGATATTGCAATACTCAATACCATGATTAATGCAATGTACAAGGTTGGGAGAAGAGAAGAAGCTAAGGATTTGTTTGCTGCAATATCACACAGTGGCTTGGTGCCCAATGAATCTACTTATAAGGTAATGATAAAAAATCTTCTAAAAGACGGAGCAGTGGAAGATGCTGACAATATGTTTTCATCAATGGACAACAGTGGTATCGTTCCCAGTTCCCTTCTTATAAATGATATCATCAGAATGTTGTTGGAAAAAGGTGAGATAGCCAAGGCTGGAAATTATTTGTCTAAAGTTGATGGGAAGAGTATCTCACTTGAAGCTTCAACTGCCTCATTGATGTTGTCTCTCTTTTCAAGGAAAGGGAAACATCAGGAGGATATTAAGTTGCTCCCTGCAAAGTATCAATTTTTCGATGGGTTTGGTTGACTAGTTGATATGCTGCATATGAGACTAACTCATCGGAAAGCACAGTTATGTTATTGCTTGCGAAAGCTCTCCTGCCAGAACAACTGTATAAGAAACCAAACTGCCTACTTGTATAGTGAGTTCATTTTGTGGTGTGTGCGGATCACATGAAAGTGACATGTCTATGAATCTTTTAATCTTTGATGGGCGAGGAAAGGTAGACAATTAGTCTAACACGATTGGTTACAATTTTAGGAGTAATTACTTCTGATGGCGATTGGGAAAGGTACACAATCTTTTTCTACTAGCCACCTGTAATTTTAGGGGTAATTACTTCTGATGGCGATTGGGAAAGATACAATTTATTAATTCACATGCTTCGTTTTGGTGGGGGCTTGTAACTTTTTCAGGTGAAAAGAAGCTGAAGAAGAAGAACCATGGCGGCTTGCTATCTCAGTAATGGTATTCCCTGCAAGTAGCTTGTGGTTCTACTGCCTTTCATAATAAGTGTTAGTCTTCTTGCACAACTTACCTCCTTAGATCTAATGCTATATGAAGGTGCGTGTAGTTCTTTTTCCAGAGAATAATATCCGAGGTTACAATATATTCTGCACCCTTGGTTTAGAAATGGGTGGTATACATATATAATCTTCCACAAGAAGCATTAAAAATACAATCTTTTCTAGTATGATTTGTACCAGCCACCTGAGCTTTTATAAACTCTCTAAAGCAGCCACTTTCCTTCATATGAATGCATTTGTTAGCAATGTCATTGTCAGTGATCTGCTATCTCAAGGGTTGTTTTAGTTCTAGTTTGAGAATTTTGTTTATTTTTCGGGGCAAAAAGGTCCTGGACGAACTGATGTTTGAGGTTGCTCATGTTATATCCAATTAGCGGATAAATATACAAGCTCATGCTGGACTCTCCTACACTCTATGCTGCTGTCAGTTGCACTGGTGGGAGCTCGTCACATACAGGTGAGAAAATTATTTCCAGTGTGATTTCTTTCTACTTTACTTCATCGAAGATTCAACTATGTTTCCTCATGATGTACATAAAGGTATGGCCAAGAATTCCCCGGTGTGAGCTTTCGCTTCAGTGTGGAGGACACTAACACTACCTCACGTGACAGAATGAAAACTTCTTGCTCTCTTACACTGTGGTGTGCATTCCTCTCCAGTTCTGGTGCCGTCTGTTCTCCGTACTGCCCCGCAACAATAAAGTTTCCAAGAATCCATGCTGCAACCTTTACCTTCTCTGTTCATTTCTTGGTCCTCAACTGCATCAATGCACCACACTTACTTCTCTGCTTCAGGTACTCCCCTGGATGCACACACTTACACGGCGAGGACAACTTTGAGTTCCTCCACCATACACATCCTTCTTGCTCGACTTCCTCTTGTTCAGATCTCAGCTTCTTTCTACCTAGCGTTGTTCGAAAATAGTTGAAGGAGAACCATTCTTGCTCATTCTTGGTTCTTGGTTCTTGGTTGAATAGGCTCTGAAACAAGCTTCATTCTTGTATGTTACTGAAACTTTGGCTACATAGAAACCTGGGTTCAGTTGCATACCTAGCTTAGCATCCACCCAAATTCATGTTGTATGCAACAAGTGCAAGTTTGGATTTAACGATTTGGTAGCAGAAGTCTATGTCTACTCGAAGGCATCATTCATTTATCATTTAGTTCCGCCCATGGTTATGAAAGAAACATTTCTATGCTGTTGTCACCGATATGTTCAGTGATGCCTATTGCACTAAGCAGCTAAAGAAGAACTTCAAGCGTCATCAGCAAATGCATGAAGGTTCATTTTTCACTCAGGTTCCTGTGGAGTGCATGCCTTTTCACCTTTGCAGGTGAGTCCTGGGTCTGCTGCTCCCATAGCAGTCACGGCGTCTTCTATCCGGTGAGGGTAGATAGGCTGGCGTGTTGGCTGAGCGGGGCCTCCTGTTGGTGTGTGTTTGCCTGTTTGGCACCTGTTGTTACGCTCGGCATGTCATTGGCGAGAGTGGGCTTGGTGCTGTGAGTATCGATGTTTGGAAGTGGGCTTAGCCCTTGTTATATCTGTTTTTGCCCAATTTTCCGTAATTAACTGAGCATCAATCTTCTTAATTAATGGAACGGGCAAAGCTTTTGCCCACATTTCAAAAAATATATATTTGTCACTGAGAATTAAATGCCACATTGAGGACTGCAAGTGCTCATTTTCAAAGGTGTGATTTGCAATCTCACATGTCTGACTCTTTTTCATGGATTTGTTGCTGTCTGCAATAAATCGCAAAACTGCTCTGTTTTTCATGCTCCACATTTTGAATTTCAGGAATCCAATTTGGACAAGCACATTAAGGAAGTTCATGAGCGGAGTAGCCCCTTCACATGCGCATTCTCTGTTTCCATACAAAGCATAACATGCAAGTGACAATGATGAGAAATGAACCTAGTGCTCACGTGCATGTTGAGGTAATCACAAAGGAACTACTCCCTGAAGACCATGTCACATAGTTTCCCTCTGTAGCCATGCCTTTGCTATAAGGAACATCTATTTTCACTAGGATAGTCACAGCTTTCCAACAAACCTTTGCAGGTCAATTTTGCGGATGCTGATGAGCAACCACGACCTCGTCCAGGCAGGCACAAGAGGATGCTCATTTCCGTCCAGACTTTGATGCGAAAGAGGGTAACCTGCTCCTGCTTACGATGATGGAACCGAGTATCTGAGACGGCTTCTGTCAGGTTGATTCTAGAAGGAATTGGAACGATGCTACATTTTTTGGTTGATCAAACAGGCTTCTGTACTTTGAGATATCCTCATTCTTATTATGCATGTATGTACATTTCAAGGAAATAGATAGGCAAGAGCAGCATGTAACCGTGTCATAGTATAAGATAGCAATTGTCTAGATAATATGAGATGTGAATGAGTGAAGATGCTATTTTTGCTCAAGTAACGAAGAACCCCAATCCGTAGCTGTATTTTTCATTTTTTTAAGATAATGGTTGTATTTGGGTTGTTTGATTTGTTGGATTATATCTTGCGGATTTTTGCACTATACATTTTTAAAGAAATTGTATATGGATGATCTTTTTTTTTCTGTATCGTGCAATCAAGCAAATTTTTACACAAATTAATTATCTATGATTTCTATGGACACGACAATACAATCATATACCCTTTATGCGTTGATGTTTGATTCTGCAAATTAAAGAGACCCTTTAGAGCAACTCTAGCATGTCTCAAAGTCTCAAAAAAGAAAAAGAAAACTATAGCATGTCTCTAAACATGCCCCCAAATGATTTTTAGGGTTCAGAGGAAAAACATCCAAACAGGATCCCCTACTTCAACCCTAAAATATGGAGGTCCGTAAAAAACAACAGCCCATAGCATAGCCCCTTCATTCACCTCTAGCATCCCGGCGCCTTAAGTGCCTACCTGCGCACCTCCATGGCGGCATCCACGTCCAGCCTCCCGACCCTAGCTTCCCGACATGAAGCTTTGCTCCACCCGCCTTGTCCTGAAGTGGCACGACATGCGTCGTATTCCAGTGTCATCCGGCCTTCCCGCGTAACTCTGTGATATTTCATGTTCGACAACAAGCTAAGGGTTGCAAAATAGGTGAGCAACAGTGCAACGGATTGACGATGTGCTCAGGAATAGAAGGAAAAGAAAAAACAGAAAAATGGAACAATGAGCTAGAGACTTATGGGTATCATGTGTCGACGCAAAAGGCAACGAGAAATATGGCTATAAATAGGGTCCATTGATAAAGTTGGAAACACTATTTTAGGCTAAAAAAGGGCGCCCTTATGTCTCGCTTATAACGAGATCTAGGAAACCCTCACGTAAAGGGGAGCCCCAGATGGGCCGGCCCAGGCCACCCGAGGCCACAGCCTCGTTTTATTTTTCATGTTTTCGGTTTTGCTTTAATTTTTTTACTTTTGTTTCTACTTTCAAATATTCTAAATATATACATATATATATATTAAAAAACATTCTACATAAAAAATTGAAAAATGTTTTACAAGTATTTGAAAAATGTTAAGTGTGGACAGAGAAAATGTTTGTCATGTACTCCCTCCGTTCCATATTAGTTGTCGCTCAAACGGATGTATCTAGCACTGAAATACATCTAAATACATCAATTTCAAAGACAACTAATATGAAATGGAGGGAGTATACACAAATGTATAGGAAAAAATACAATGTGTATGAAAAAAATTGGTCATCTATTTAAAAAATTTAATCAAGCATTTGAAAAAATATTGAATATGTATTTGAAAATTGTTAATCAAAATTTGAAAAAGTGAAATGTGTATAGAAAAAATGTTTACCATGTATGAACAAAATGATGAAAAAATTTGATCATGTGTATAAAAATGTCAATCAAGCATTTAAAAAAATTAACAAGCATTTGGAGAATGTTAAATGTGTACAGAAAAACTGTTAAATCATGTATTTAAAATGTTAAATTAGTATTTAAAAAACGGTTACATATGTATACAAAATGTTGACCATGTATTAAAAAATATTAAACATGTATAGAGAAAATGTTGATCATGTATTAAAAAAATGTTACACATGTATTCAAAAAATGTTAAGCATGCATAGAAAAAATGTGACCATGCAAAAATCTTTAACTTTGTATTTAAGAATCTTAAATGTGTATAAAAATGTTGACCATGTATTGAAAATGTTAATCAGGTATTTTAAAAATTTAAATTAAGAATTTATAAAAATGTTAAACGTGTATTAAAGTAATTTATTAGATATATTTCAAAATGTGTAAAGAAAGCTAGTGAAACCCGAGAGAAAACAAGGAAAATCGATGAAAAATGAGAAAGAGACAAACAAAAATGAAGTAAAATAAAGAAAAAAGAAAGGAAAAGAATAAAACAATGAGAACTAAAAAAGTAATAAAGAAAACAGAAGGAAAAAATAAAAGAGAAAGGAAAGAAAAACAGGAAAATGGAGAAAGAAACGGACAAAAACAATGAAAAACAAAGAAACAATAGAAACCAGGTCTTTTCAAACAAACCCGGCGCTTACTAAGGGAGTGTTCGGTGATCCACTAGCTCCACCAAATCTGAGAATCTGCAGAGCATCTACTCCCCCGCTCCTGGACTTTTAACTAGCGCTCCACCAACTCCCGAAGCGAGAGTGTGGAGTGGAGGAGAGCCGAACAGGCTCTAAATGGCTAGCTTCGCTACACATCGTCGAGGAGACCCGGGATCGAATCCTAGAATCACTTTTTTTTAAAGGTGCCTTAATTGGGCCGGTGTGTTATTGTGGAGTGTGGACTCTTAATACGAGAGATACTACTGTCTCGCTTAATGCTTGACATACCTCCTATCTACTCCCTCTGTTTCAAAATATAAGAACGTTTTTAACACCACACCAGTGTCAAAAACGTTTTTATATTATGGGACGGAGGAAGTAGAAAATATATGAACAACCCCATCAAAGATTTAAGGGCTTTAAAAAAATGCTATAATTGGAGGTGCTCTGAAGCTCGAGCTTGACTCGTTTTCCCAACTTGTTTGATAAATGTCCAGTGATTTGTATGAATTCATCATTTGAGAAAAGGAAAAAAAGTTTTTTTTTTGAGTAGCTTCTAATGGAGCCGATTAGAGAGTGACAGGACTAGCAAAGCTCTTCCCACTGCGTACGAACTCCCCGGCCATTCCCGACGCCGATGCCCCGCCGCCGCTGATCTCCACCCTCCGTCCGCATCCTGCATCCACCCCTCCGCCTCCGCTGCTCCTCCCCAACCTGCACCTCTCCCATGTCCGGTCTCCGCCACCCGCACTGATTTACCTCTCCGTTGTCTCGCCTCCATCTCCGCCACTCCTTCACCACGCCGATGTCCAACCTCCGCCTCCTCCGCCGCAGCTCCTCCTCCATGTCCACCACCACGTCGCCGCCCTCGCGCTCCTGGTCCCCCCATTCGGCCTTTGCCGCGGCCACAGAGCGCGTGCGCGCCAGGACGCTCAGCCAAGACGATGCACACCACCTGTTCGACGAATTGCTGCGGCAGGCCACCCCGGTCCACGAGCCTCCCTCAACGGCTTCCTCGCCGCCCTCGCGCGTGCTACGTCCTCTGCCGCTTGCATCAGAGATGGTCCCGCCCTCGCCATCGCCCTCTTCAATCGCGTGTGCCGAGAACAAGCCGGCCCGCGGGTGGCGCCTCTCACAGTCCACACCTACGGCATCCTCATGGAATGTTGTTGTCGGGCGGGTCACCCGGAACTAGGGCTTGCCATATTCAGCCGTCTTCTCAGGACGGGGCTCAAGACAAACGAGATAGTCGGCAGCACCTTCCTCAAGTGCCTCTCCTACGCAAAACGGACGGATGAGGCTCTGAACGTGTTGCTTCATAGGATGCCCGAGCTCGGCTGTGTGCCTAATGCCTTCTCATACTCCATTGTTCTGAAGAGCTTATGCGACAATAGCATGAGTCAGCGGGCGCTCGACCTGCTCCAGAGGATGGCGAAAGAAGGAGGTGGCTGCTTCCTTAATGTGGTGACATATAGCACGGTCATCCATGGCTTCTTTAAGGAAGGTGAAATAGGCAAGGCATGCAGTCTGTTCCATGAAATGATGCAGCAAGGTGTTGTGCCCAATGTGTGGACGTATAACTCGATTATTGATGCATTGTGCAAGGCCAGAGCAATGGACAAGGCAGAGCTAGTCCTTCGTCAGATGGTTGCTAAAGGTGCTCAACCCGATACAGTGACATATAATTGCTTGATCAATGGATATGCCACATCTGGGCGGTTGAAAGAGGCTGCTAAAATGTTCAGAGAAATGAAAAGACGGGGTCTTACACCAAATATTGTTACCTGCGGCTCGTTAATGACTTCCCTTTGCAAGCATGGAAGAAGCAAAGAAGCTAGAGAAATATTTGATTCCATGACTTCCAAAGGCCACAGAGCTAATGTCGTCTCATACTCTATTTTGCTTCATGGGTATGCCAATGAAGGATGCTTTGCTGATATGATTTATCTCTTTAATTCAATGAAAAGCAACGGTATTGCAGCCGACTGCCGTGTTTTCAACATATTAATTAATGGATATGCTAAACGTGGAATGATGGATGAAGCTGTGCTGATATTTACTGAAATGCGGGAAAAAGGAGTGAGTCCTGATGTAGTCACCTATACCACTGTAATAGCCGCACTTTCCAGAATGGGTAGGTTGACCGATGCTGTGGACAAATTCGATGAGATGATTGCAATGGGAGTACAGCCAAGCATACCTGTTTATCAGTCCCTGATTCAGGGTTTTTGCATCGATGGTGATTTGGTTAAAGCCAAGGAGCTGGTTTCTGAAATGATGAACAAAGGTATTCCTTGTCCTAACATTGTGTTCTTCAATTCAGTAATAAACAGTCTGTGCAAAGAAGGAAGGATTATGGATGCACATGATATCTTTGACTTGGTTATAGACATAGGTGAGAGGCCTGATACCATTACATTTAGTTCACTGATTGACGGATATTGCTTAGTCGGCAAGATGGATAAAGCATTCGGAATGCTTAATGCCATGGAATCAGTTGGTGTTGAGCCTGATTGTAACGCCCTCGATGCGGCTATATCTCCCACGTGTCGAAGCACGACTTAGAAGCATAACCGCATTGAAAGCAATATCGCAAGTGAGGTAATCTTTACACAACCCATGTAATACATAAGGGAAAAAGATACATAGTTGACTTACAATCGCCACTTTACACAATACATGAATAAAACATTACATCATCCAAATACAATCAAGGTTCGACTACGGAACCAAAATAAAAGAAGAACCCCAAATGCGACAAGGTCCCCGATCGACCCCAACTGGGCTCCACTACTGATCAACTAGAACGAAACAACACAAAGGACAAGATCTTCATCGAGCTCCTCCTGAGCTTGGTTGCGTCATCTGCACGGTCTCATCGGCACCTGCAAACTGGTTTTGGAAGTATCTGTGAGTCACGGGGACTCAGCAATCTCGCGCCCTCGCGATCAAGACTATTTAAGCTTATGGGTAAGGTAAAGGTATGAGGTGAAGCTGCAGCAAGCGACTAACATATATGGTGGCTAACATATTCGCAAAAGAGAGCGAGAAGAGAAGGCAAAGCACGATCGAGAAACTATGATCAAGAAATGATCCTAGAACAACCTACGTCAAACATTACTCCAACACCGTATTCACTTTCCGGACTCCGCCGGAAAGAGACCATCACGGTTACACACGCGGTTGATATATTTTAATTAAGGTCGACTTCAAGTTTTCTACAACCGGACATTAACAAATTCCCATCTGCCCACAACCGCGGGCACGGCTTTCGAAAGTTCAAATCCCTGCAGGGGTGTCCCAACTTAGCCCATCACAAGCTCTCACGGTCAACGAAGGATATTCCTTCTAGCGGGAAGACCCGATCAGACTCGGAATCCCGGTTACAAGACATTTCGACAATGGTAAAACAAGACCAGCAAAGCCACCCAGATGTGCCGACAAATCCTGATAGGAGCTGCACATATCTCGTTCTCAGGGCACACCGGATGAGCCAGCCCAGAGTTGCCCCTGGTAGCTCCGGACATCGCTCAGTTTGGACCAACACTCAGAGGAGCACTGGCCCGGGGGTTTAAAATAAAGATGACCCTTGAGTCTGCAGAACCCAAGGGAAAGAAAAGGCTAGGTGGCGAATGGTAAAACCAATGTTGGGCCATGCTGGAGGAGTTTTATTCAAGGCGAACTGTCAAGGGGTTCCCATTATTACCCAACCGCGTAAGGAACGCAAAATCCAGGAACATAACACTGATATGACGGAAACTAGGGCGGCAAGAGTGGAACAAAACACCAGGCATAAGGCCGAGCCTTCCACCCTTTACCAAGTATATAGATGCATTAATTAAATAAGAGATATTGTGAAATCCCAACAAGTAAACACGTTCCAAATAAGGAACAACATCTCCATGTTCCAACAAGGAACAAACTTCAGTCTTCACCTGCAACTAACAACGCTATAAGAGGGGCTGAGCAAATCGGTAATATAGCCAAACAACGGTTTGCTAGGACATGGTGGGTTAGAGGTTTGACATGGCAATTTAGGAGGCATGATAAGCAAGTGGTAGGCATCGTAGCATAGGCATAGCAAAAGAGCGAGCATCTAGCAAGCAAAGATAGAAGTGATTTCGAGGGTATGGTCATCTTTCCTGAAATCCTGCAAGGAAGAAGAACGAGTCCATGAAGAAGACAAACTGACGTAGTCGAACGGTTCCTCACAAACGCGACGTTATCGGAACCAACCCGAAGAAGCAACACCGGAAAGGAGCACACAACATAGTAAACAACCAACACATAATCATGGCATGATGCACAATCAAGTATGATGCATGTCCGGTTTAAAGAGGCATGGCATGGCAAAATGCACAAGCAACCCTACAAATTAAGTGGAGCTCAATATGCAATGAGTTGCATATTGACGAAACACCACGACAAGTTATTTAGTTCGATCTCGTTTATGTACTCAACAATATTAAATGTTGTTAAACATGGCAAGAGGGTGAAGCAAAAGAAAACTACCTATCTAGGCAAGTTTAAATGAGGCCGGAAACAACGAACAACAATTTTGGTAAATCCCCATGTGCATATATTAGGTTTGGTCCTGTTCTGCCCTAAACCATATTTTATAGTTATTAAACATGCAAGATGATGCCACCATATTAAACTAGGCAAAATTCTACCCCATTTACATATAAAGTTTGTTAGAAACGGAGCTACGGTTATTTAGTTATGAATTAAACCATTTTAGCATAGCATTTATACAAAATTAAACAAACATCAAGTTTAAACATCTTTGACATGGATGAAAGTTGGCAGTTATGAAACTAGATGAAATTCTAAGCACTTTACATGTTTAAAACATTTTAATCCGATGCACGGTTCTGGAATTATTATATGCATGATGTTGAGGGTTTTTCTGTAAAAACTGCTGACTCTGGAAAATACAAAAACGTTCTATGTAAAAAAACAGGATATGGGCCGGATCTGGAACAGAGCTGGGGAGCTGCTCACATTGGGCCTTAGCAGGCCAGCTATTGCAGAGGCTGGCAGGGGAAGGAAGCGCCTAGGCCGGGAGGCCGAGCGCTGTGCCTTGGCGCTGGAAGGGAGGCAGCCCAGGCGGGTAGCGAGGCCGCTCGGTCAAAACGGAGGAAGTCAACGCGGGCACTAGTCGCTGTTCGTCCTCATCCTCGAAGCAGCGGGAGTAGGTGCATGACGGTGCCGGGAACAACAAGGAGGTGGGCTTCGGTCGGGGATCGAGGGACTTGGCCGCGGCGACTCCAGGCGATGCAGTGGCTGCTCCAACCGGCGAGGAAGGCCAGCGGCCGGGCGGAGCTGGAGGCCAAGGCGGCGGCGTCCTAGTAGAAGGAGAGGACGCAGGCAGCAGTGGCAGAAACGGGGCGGCGGTGAGGAACGCTTGGGGCGAATCTATGGCGGCGCTGGACGCCGGTGACAGGGCACATGGGTCCAGGACCCGTGAGGAGGAGAGGGGCGGCCATGGCGTTTCCTTGGACTTGGCCGGCTCGATGAAGACGAGCAGCAATGGACAGGCGCGGCTCCTGCAGGGGAACGAGGCGGCGCTGGGGTCGTGCATCGTTCGTTCGACAAGGGAAGCAACGGCAGCAGCAGGTTAGGCCGGCGACGGCACCGGTGGCCGGGGACGTTCTTCGTCTCGGTGGTGCTCTGGCCTCGCAGAAGAAACAAGGCGACCACGCGATTAGCAGTAGCAGTAGGAGAAGAACAACAAGAAACAGGGAGGAGGCGCGGTAAGGAGGACCTGCGGGTCAGAGCAACTTGACGGCGGCGCCATGGCGTGGTGCTGCTCTCGATCCATCGTGGATCAAGGCACTGGAGGAGGGGAGGAGGGGCGGAGCAGCCTGCTCGAGCTTGAGGGTGAGGCCGACGCTCGGGGGTTGGCCGATGCTCTGCTGGTGGGATGGATCAATGGAGAGAAGTGGCTGGTGCTGGTTGGCTCCGGTTGATTCGGGATGAAATCCCAAGGACGAAGGAGGTTGGTCGGGTGGCTCGAATGGACCGGGCAAGATCCCGAGGATGGAGGAAATTAGTTGGATCTGAGCGGCTGGGTGGATCTGAAACGAGGAAAGAGGTGGTTGGTCCAGTGCTGGATCCGAGGAGGGTGGCGGCGCAGGAGGGGCTAGGAGCTAGGCTAGGGTTTAGGGTTGATCTGGTCATATATAGCAGGTGGATTTTTGTTAGGTGCATCTGGTCCCTCCGATTTAGATCGGGCGGTCGAGAATAAAATGTTAGGGAGGCGAAATAAGAAAACGGTGACGTTTTGTAGACGTTTGGGGATGATCCGGACACAACGGCAACGATTGTCCGGGTCGGGTCCGGGACAACTTTCGGACGCGCGCGCGAGGAGGGCCGCGGGCTGACGGGAGAGGTTTGGTTGGGCCTGGCGGTAGGTAGTGGGCTGTGTAGACGGTCTCAAGCTAAGAGAAGAGAAGAGAGGGAGGCCCGGCGACTGTTTCCGGAGACCGAAAACGTCCGACGATAGACCGACTACTATTGCCGCTATATTTATCCGTTGGGCATCAAACGGACTCCGAATGCGATGAAACTTGGCAGGCGGTCTACTGACAACAAAACAACACCGCATGCCAACTTTCAACCCATTCCGAGAACATTTTTCGGCCACTTATAAAATAATATTTCGGACATATCGCGGGCGCGTGTAAGTGTGTCTGGGCTCAGAACGGACAACGGAAGGAACTGGGAGAACCCGGACGGATGCAAGTTTTGAAAAACATGATGATGCAATGCGGATGATGACATGATAAAATGTAACACGCAAGCAAATGACAAGACAACAACAGCGAATAACTGGAAGACACCTGACGCAACGGTCTCGGGGCGTTACAACACTCCACCACTACGAGAGGATCTCGCCCCGAGATCCAGAATGGCATCGGAGAAAACAAAAGAGAAAGAGAAGAGGTAAAACTAAGTTGCTTCTTTGACAAACGAGTGAAACCACGAGCCTTGAGAGGTTGAACAAATTGAAAGAAAGAATGCAACGAGAATGAGCGAAGTTGAAAGCACCCCGTTCGAAAAAAAACAAGGAAGAACAAAATTCGGGCAGCACTCCGGTTGAGAAGGGATGCAAGACTTGATAAGGCGAAAAGAACTTGAGCAAAAAGGGCACAACACTCCAGTTAAATGGATAGGCATGAAAAGAACATGATCTTTGACAAAACGAGATGATGGGTGAAAAGAACAACATCGCAAGGCCTCCGGAACAGAAGTAAGAATGGAATGGAATGAACGACGAGAAACAAGATCTTGGGGGAGAACGCTTACAACAAATGCTAGAACGGAGTTGTTGGAAAACCAACAACGAAAAGAATAATCTTGATATGGTCTTATGAAATACATCTCAACTTATGAGGTGACAACCTGCCACTCATGGGAAAAAGAATTGGATTGATAAGAACAAGGAGACGAGAAGCTATCTCACCGGGAGGATAAATGAAGAACTTGGATCATTGATA